TTTCTTTTTGCATTACATCAATGGAAGTTGACATTTTTGCAGTATGGTGATGAAAATTTATATAGAGAAAATATGTTTAATTAATATGTTTAAATTAATGTCACAATGCAAACAAACAAACAGATAAATAAATAAATCATATTTTTAATATTTAAATATAAATATTTATTTATTTAAATATTTTAAAATTAAATATTTATATAAATATTTATTTATCTGTTTATTAACAAACAGATAAATAAATAAATGAAAAAGCAAATCTGAGGATCCTAAAATGGTTCCTAATATATATATATTTATATTTAAATATATTAATAATTAATATAAATATTATATATATATATGTAAATGAATGTCTCAATGCAAACAAACAAACAGATAGATAAATAAATGAAAAAACTAATCTAAAGATCCTAAAATGGTTCCTAATATATATATATATATATATTAATATAAATGTAAATATAATATATATATATTAATGTCTCAATGCAAACAAACAAACAGATAAATAAATAAAATATCAATAAATAAATGAAAAAACTAATCTAAGGATCCTAAAATGGTTCCTAATTTATATATATATATATATATATATATTCTTTTTTTTTTTTTTAGAAATGCTTTTACACTTTTAACCCAGAACTCAATTCTTTAAATAATAAAATGTGTTAAAAAAGAAAGGCTCAAAAAATGAAGCTAGTTCTACGTAAAAAAACAAACAATGTTTTTACTGTCACCTTTGATCAGTTTAATGCATCCTTAATTCCTGAATAAAATTATAATTTTTTTTAACCCAAATGTTTGAACGATAATGTAACATCACACGTCCATGTTCATGCAACATTACAATCTCCGATTATACACGTCAAGACGTGTGAGTGAATGTTTTAAATACAGCATGAGTCATAGTCATTATGGCCAGTAATGCAGACACAGTAGGAGTCACTGAGTCAGGAAGCGTGTGAGGTCTGGAGGAAACTCCACGGCTCTGTACGGTGTCTGTGAGGACTGTCCAGTCTTATTCCATTGTAATGGTCAGTGTAGGAAGAATCCACTGGTCTAGAAATGTTGCCAGAGCCCACACAAAAACATTCACCAACACACGCTCTTCTGATAGCCTGCAGTTTTTTCAACCCACACAATGTACTCAAAACACTTTCACACACACATGCTGTGCCAAAACTTGTGAATTTGGAAGTGGATTTATACATATTTACTGCTTTGAGTCTTTTGGCTTTCGCTGTCTCCCACACACACCCACTCTCATGCAGACTTACACTGGTACACTAACAGGCATTTATGGATGATCTTTGATATCCACTGATAATAACATCATCATTTCTAGAAAGAAAACATACAATCAGGACATTGTGTGGCTTGCCTCCCACATTTCAAGTATTTGTTTAAATGGTTCTAGGTTACAGATTTTATTTAGCATGAAAAACTACATTGTTTTAACCAGCTCACAGATTTATATAACGCTTAACATTTCTCATCTGAAATGTGTTTGGTGCCACCCTCGTTAGATCGAATGTGTTACGAAACTGAAGTTAAGTGCAAAAATTACACTGAAGAAAAAATAGCACCAGGCCACATTATCCAGTTAATGTTTTTGCAGTTTAAGCAAAGAACAATATTTTTCTATAAAACATTGATCACGTGATTTTTTTTTCCCCAAGACAAAAGTCCTGCATAGTTGAAATATTGAGCTTGAGAAGGCAAATATGCATTTAAACATAATGAAATTAAAAAGGGATTTAAGGGGGGGAACTTATTTTTAAGGGGGGAATAGCACATTTATTTGTGTTTGTTTGTTTGTTGTTATTGTAGTTTTAAATAAACATTTTATGACTTCCTGTATACATTTATAAATTAAATATATATATATATATATATTTTTTTTATATCTTCAGTTATTTAATACAACTAAAAATATTTTAAATAATTTCTCTTTGTTAAATATTAATATTTGAAAGGGGAAATACAACTTTCTTTCTTATAGAGATTGTAGTTTTAAATAAATAGTTTATAGTTTCCTTTATACATTTATAAAATAAACATTTGTGTTTACAACTAACAAATATTTTAAATAATTCCTCTTTGTTAAGTACGATTATTTTTAAAGGGGAAATGTCACATTATTTATTTATTTATGATATTATGGTTTTAAATACATAGTTTAGTACAAAATAAGCCTTTTTGTATTTGCAATTAACATTTTTTAATTATTTAATACAACTAACAAACATTGTTAATAATTTCTCTCTGTTAAATAAGAATTTTTTTAAACAGGGAAATATATAATTGTATTAATTTATTCATTCATTTAGACATCTTTAACTAAATCTTTTACAATTCCCTTTATTAGAAATGTAATATTTAATTTATAATTGAATTTTATTAAATTAACATACAATTTAAAACGTAAAATATTACTTTTAAAATTATTATAATAATGATTACTTTTTATTTAACATCACTTAATGTTTTAAATCTTTGTAACATCACTGGGGGAAAAAATTATAATAAACATTTGCACATTGCTACATTTCTGTACTGATCAGTTCCTGTGTTCTGTTGAAGATTATGACCTCTCCAAGCTGAGGGACTTCATGGACCAGCAGGTGGACGCATACATCGACAAAGGCATCCTTGAGAAGGACGAAGGTGACGTGATCAAGAGAATCTACGGAAGCCTGTAGGAACCACAAGTCCAGCTTCACATGTAATAGTGTAACAGTTAGACTATCTGCTAAATACTTGGACTGGGCATACTAACACAGATCCTAATGCTTTAACTCCTAATAAACAAGATTTAGTCTGCAACTCAGACAGTATTTCTGCAGAATAATTCCCTTCAGAAGGCAATATCCTCTCAGTGCAGTCAGCAATAGAACACAATCTAGTTCTAGATAAGCCACAAATCACATTTGAGTTGTATGTGTTCTTACGCATTAGGACAGAATAACAGCACTGGCTACTAGAAGAATGAAATTCTGTGGATTTTTCGGTACGACTTGCAAATCAGTGAAAATAGAAGCTTTTGCACCTGTCCCTCTTTTGGAATAGACTTTTACAGCATCGTATGCATATACTGTATCTGTACGTAACATTCATTCATGTATGGTGTTTAGCATTTTCTCCTCTTATTTGATGAAGCAGAAGAATCTGTATTATTGTTTCTCAACCAACCAAAAAAAAAAAAAAAAAAATCAGCTGGACTGTCAGTGAATTGCTTTTCTCCTCTGTTGTTGCTTTGTCTCCCAGTCTGTAGGGGGCAGTCTTTATATCTTTATATCTCCCTTCTCTAACTTAAGTTTGGTTTTCTTGGTTTTCTTTCTCCATTATTTGACTCTGTATATTCCACATGCTATAGAATCACAATCAAGTATTTTTAAATGTAAATATCGTGTTTTTTTCCAAAAATCTATTAAACATTGCCTTTCTTTAATTACTTAACTTCCGTGGTTGTCATTTTTTAAGGTTTTGATCTTTCCATAAACCAATTTTATGTTTGATGTACTACTTGTGCACAATGCACATTTCTTAAAGGGGTCATATGATGCTTTTTTAAAGATCATTATTTTGTGTATTTGGTGTAACAGAATATGTTGACACGCTTTAATGTTCAAAAAACACAGTATTTATCAAATACTGTACATTATTGTAGGTCCTCTATGCCCCGCCTCTCTCGAATGCTTCGTTTTCGACAAAGTCCCTCCTTCCGACAAGCGCAGTCTGCTCTGATTGGCCAGCTGACCCAGTGCAGTGTGATTGGCCGAACACCGCAAGCACTCATCGGAAATGTAACGCCCCTTACCATAATCGCGAGCTTCATCTTTCAAAATAAATGTAAAGACAGAGGCCCAAAGGGGAACAGAGTCGCGTGACAGACACAGTGATGAATGTGTGTGTGCAGTACACAAGCCACAGTTAAGACAGCTGACTCCACTGTGACGTGTCTCGCTCTCTCTCACTCTTTCTCGCTCGCGCACACACACACACACACACACAATGCGCAAAACTCCGCATTTGAACAGTCAATAGCAAATACTTAAACTAATAACAAAACAGTAGCTGATTCAGAAGCGCCAGATTGTCATAGCAAAGTCAGAATGACCTCCTCTCCGAGGTTCACGAAACGGTCGTCCATAAAATGCATTGCTGTTCTGTTGTAAGTAATCTTAAAGATTCCTAAATGCATCTACTTCCGGAAGGCCAAATAAAGTGCTTTTGCTTTCGCCTAGAAACACACAGCGTCTCCCTGACATGCTGCTTCAACACTAACTGCGGTTACTGAAACCACACCTTCTTTCTTTGCGTGAACATTTGGGCGCATTATGCCACTCCAAAGAGAAAGGAAAACTTGAAATCGCACCATATGACCCCTTTAATATTAAGCCTAAAATATGTTTTATTGTGACTATTGATTGATTGTATGACCATTGAATAATATCAGTATTTAAATGCAAGATATTTAAAGTGTAGCTACCTGAAGTATACTTGCAATAGTTCCATTTTAGCACAATCAAATATACTTCATAATATCTTTGATTGGACTTCAGCACTACTTCGAGCACAATGAAAGTGCATTAAGTATAAAATTAGTTTCAGAATTCAAATATACCAGTTTAGTAAACCAAAAATACAATTGCAGGGTATTTTTATTAAGTGCATAAAAAATTATTTGTAGTACACTTAGCATAAAATAAATGTATTTCAAATACATTTTAGTATATTTATTTTTCACTAGGTTAAAGTGTCATATACATTTTATATGGGACTTTATCGAAGATAATTTAAAACCACCTTAAAGGTAATAAACAGGAAAATGACAGTATTAATATCGCTAAATTCTTCCATTATTCTTCAAAAATGAATTCAATTCATTATTGAGCTCAATTCAGTTATTCTTCAGTTCAATTTAAATTTAATGATAGTGCCATTGTTGTAAGTTCATCGAGTAGCAAACAAACTCAATTCAACTCTAAAACAGATCCAAACTCAAATTTAGCTGCAGCTGTTGGGTAAACATGTGAACTCAATAAAACCACTGGTTTGGGAAACATTTCATAAATGTATGTTGGGCGACATTTTTATTGGAGCAAGTGTCACATATGTTTTATAGTTTAGCTTTATCATATTATACAACACCTGTTGTTACTCAGAACAGTGATATTTCTGATGGCTACATTTTATACTTTAGTTTCATGAGATTATTTTTGTCAAGTCAAGTCACCTTTATTTATATAGCGCTTTTAACAATACAGATTGTGTCAAAGCAGCTTTACAGTATTAATTAGGAAAATAGTGTCAATAATGCAAAGTGACAATAGTAAACACTCATTTTCAGTTAAAGGCAGTTCATCATTGAATTCAGTGATGTCATCATCCAGCTCAGTTCAGTTTAAATAGTATCTGTGCAATCAAGTCGACGATATCGCTGGAAATGAAGTGTCCCCAACTAAGCAAGCCAGAGGTGACAGCGGCAAGGAACCAAAACTTCGTCGGTGACAGAATGGAGGAAAAATCTTAGGAGAAACCAGGCTCAGTCGGGGGGCCAGTTCTCCTCTGGCCAGACGAAACCAGCAGTTCAGTTCCAGGCTGCAGCAATGTCACATTGTGCAGAGGACTCATCTGGTTCCTGTGGTTTTGTCCCGGTGGCCGTCTGAGACAAGGTCTTTACAGGGGATCTGTATCTGGGGCTCATCTAGTTGTCCTGGTCTCCGCTGTCTTTCATGGCTGTAGAGGTCCTCTCTAGGTGCTGATCCACCATCTGGTCTGAATACGTACTGGATCCGGGTGACTGCAGTGACCATCTGATCTGGATACAGACTGGCTATGGTGACATCGGAATAAGAGAGAAACGGACTAATATTAGCGTAGATGCCATTCTTCTAGCGATGTAGCAAGTACATCGGGTGTTATGTGTTCCTTATATGAAATTCTTAATTCATTGTTTACATTTTCCCAATGTATTTTGATCCTATGCTATTTCATTCGGAGTCATCATATTAGCGATACAGCTAAAATGAAATGATGCAGCTAACTTTTTCTTTTGCCAAAAGTTTATTTCCCAAAGGGCTGTTATCTAACAAATCTCTACTGCCTGGAGTGTTTGTTAAAGGGTTAGTTAACCCAAAAATGAAAATTCTGTCATTAATTACTCACCCTCATGTAGTTCCAAACCCGTAAGACCTCCGTTCATCTTCGGAAAACAAATTACGATATTTTTGATGAATTCTGAGAGCTCTCTGACCCTCTCATAGAGAGGATACTACCACGATCAAGGCTCAGAAACGTAGCAAGGACATCGGTAAAATAGTCGCGATATCAGGACTTCAACCGTAGTTTTACAAAGCAGCAAGAATACTTTTTGTGTGCAAGGAAAACAATAATTTATTAGACTGAACTTAAACAACATATATTCTATTGAACGTAAACAACGCTGACTACATTCTGGTGTACTCTCCAAAATGGGGGAAGACGGTAACTCGGGGAGAAGAATTGTTGAATAAATTGTTATCATTGTTTTCCTTGCACACAAAAAGTATTCTCGCTGCTTTGTAAAATTATGGTTGAAACCGATATCACTTATGGACTATTTTACCGATGTTCGTGCTACGTTTCTGTGGCTTGATCGTGGTAGTATCCTTGCTGTCTATGGAGGATCAGAGAGCTCTCAGATTTCATCAAAAATATCTTAATTTGTGTTCCGAAGATGAACGAAGGTCTTACGGGTTTCGAATGACAAGAGGGTGAGTAATTAAGGACAGAACTTTCATTTTTGGGTGAACTATCCCTTTAAAGTTTCTGTGGTAATGCTGAAAGGTGAGATCCATCCTATAACAACCCAAACTTTTCTTGAAGATCAATAATCCACAAAACAGGAAGCTCTTCATTTACAGAAGCATTTATTCTGCATAATCCAAATCAAACAGCACAGTAAAATATTTTATTAACACAAAAAAACAACATTCACACCAAAACAGCATTAGTTATCCCTTTCAACCCCACACATAAAGCTTTTATAGGCAAGAAAAAAAAAACATAAATTAAAATCAGCAGGCAGCCACAAAGAGTCCGGGATGTTTTATCTGCTAAGTAACGTTACTGGACAGACTGCAGATTCAGTGTTTCATATGAGCAGAGGTTATCATAAGTTTGTGATCTATATGTGGATGGCTATTGCTCTTCCTAAAGAAGACAAGCTCGGCTGTAGCTTCTTTTCTGTTATGTGAGATGGAGCATTAATGATAAAAGTCAGAAATAACAACACTATAATACTGCTGAAGAAGGCAATGATGGACCTTCAGCACAAGAGTATGGTGTGTGGTCCGGTGTTGCAGTTTGTGTAAAGGTAGAGTTACAAAATGAGCAGGCAAAACAGGGATGGAAAGATGAAGATGGGTCATTGTCAGCGCTGCAGGTAAACAGATGAAGAGGAATCCATCAGATCTCCTGATATGATGATGTTGAGTTTGCTGGGTCGTCTTCCTCTCTGAAATTAAACAAACAATATTTTTTCAAAAACTGCTGAATATATATAGCAAATGTGTCACTTTAATATGAAGCTTAAAAGAACTGAAAGTGAATTTTAATGTGAATTCCTTGTCGATCATTTTAGATATAAACTGCTACTATTCCTATATAAAGCCTAAAGCAAATATTTAAATGTAAAATAAAACAACAAGACATTCTTTTTCTACTTAAAATCTAATAAAAGTTGAGTGAAATGGTAAGACACTATTAGTTAATATTTTGTGTTGCATAATCTTAGAACAAAATTGCATTTTTTTCCTGCAATAAACATTGTTTGAATAAAATCCAGATTTTTTTTTTTTACCTCAATTCACCTGAAAAGCTCTATTTGGAATTAAACGTTCTAGAATTATTGGGGCAATTTAGTAGGGCAGTGCATCTGCATAGAAAATGAAAACAAGCCAAAAGATTGCTTGAAGATTTTTTTTTGGTGTGAACCACCCTTCTGGGACTGAAATATATATATAAATTAAGTTTCAACCTCAAACTTTTTTCAGTAACCATGAAGTTAATGGTAAAAAAATTAAATAAATAACTCTGTCCAATTGCGTTATCATAGGCCACTTTCTCATTGTTTTTGACCTATTCAATATGACTATAAAATAATAATGATGATGACTTGTATCAAATGAAAATAAGAATACTATTGTACTATAACGCAAACAAAAAG